AGGGACAATGAACTGGCCCCTGTTTAAAAAGTTTGAGGACCCCTGCAAGGTCTCTGTGCTTTAATTGGCCTTGACTATTAGGTATCTCTGGTGTGGTTCCCACAATGAGGTAGACATTTATTATCATTACTGTTCAACAGATGAGAACACCCAGTCTCAAAGATTAGCTTGTTGTAGAAGGCACAACAGGGATGGATTTTGTACCCAGGTCTTTCACAGGCCAAAGCCCATTTTCCATAAAAAATATTGTTTTCCTAAGCATTAACTTCCCAATTATCCCTCTACTTCCAGAAAATTTCTGGGCAACCATATCTTAATATATGTGTTACCTCTATGCAATAATAATCTAGAAGCCTAATCAAGAATTTTGGAAGATTATCTTTCTTCCCCACTGTATTGGTTTGCTGAGGCTGCCATTATGAAGTACCACAAAGTGGCTTAAACAGCAGAAGTTTGTCTCACTGTTCTTGAAATAAGAAGTCTGAGATCAAAGTGTTAGCAGAGCCATGCTTTCTCCAAAAGTACTGTTTCAGGCCTGTCTAGGTAGTTCCCTAATATTGGCAACATGACCCCAACCTTCCCATGGAGTTCTCCCTTTTTATAAGGACTCTAATCATGTATAACAGTCCATTCTACTTGAGTATGACCTCATCTTAACTAATGACATCTAAAGCAACCCTATTTCCAAATAAGATCACATTCTAAGGTAGTGGGATTTAGGACTTCAAAGTATAAATTTTGAGGTAACACAATTCAACTTATAACATTCACTATAATGGGTCATATTTCAGCCTATTATATCTACAATAGGCTGCAGTTGATAGCCAAGGGGTGGATCTCCTCCCCAAATGAAAAACTCTATTGTATAACGTGACAGATAACAACAAAAAAGTTCAAGATTAATGCTTTCATGGTTCTCAAATTTTAGTGAGCCTGAAAATCACTTGGGAAGCTGTACTTCACTCTAGTCAGTACTTCATGGGAGGCATGATTACCCTATACTGTACTTTTTTGGGACCTATTAAGCCGTGTCTGTATTATTGATACTGACATCCCAATCTTAAGGCAAAATTTCCGCAATACCTTAAAGCACTTTTGTTTATTTAAAATTTAAATGCCATTTTAATTGTAATCATGAAAGAGGGGTCATATTTCTACATATTCTTTGATAAAGAGTTTAAGGAATATTTATTAAATTAATTGGTTAATGCATGAATGAACTTGTGTTTGGAGATGGTCCATTGATTCCATCTATAATTTCTACCAGCTTCATCTATAGGTTTCCCTCTTAAAAGGGTTAAACCTGGTTCACCATCCCATGGAATATCAATTATTTATACTAAGTTTGCCATGTTCTATTTCATAGGTTAGACTATCATATTCATATGATTTGTTCTACTTCAAAGTGAAAAATTCCTCTCCTTAGCCTATTAATACAAATATTTATATTTAACCTCATAACATTAATAGCATAATGGTTAAGTACACACACTTTGAAGCTAGTCTACTGGGCACAAATTCCAGAACTATTGGTAGCTATGTTACTTATTATAAGTTACCTAATCCCCCTAGGATTTATTTTCCTTATTTGTAAAATAGGTATAACAATATGCTTACTTTACAGGTTTTTTTGAGAAGTATATGAGTTAATCCATAAAATACACAATTAATCCATAAGTCAGCAACTTATAGCACATAGCAAGACTTTATAAGATTTATAATAATTTATAACTAAAGAAAATACCTATAGTGAGAATAGACTTTCTATATAAAATTAGTCCTCAATACCTGAATTATATTTCTTTAACCAAATGAATTAGAAAATATAAAACCCATTTTGTAAGAGTACAAGTATATAAAGATATCAAGACTAAAAATTTGAAACAGTTTCATATGAAGAAACTTAATTATGCTTGTTAGAGTTAGTTACGCATACAATAATACGTTGTTGGATGTATATACCAATACATATGCTTCAGAGTGTGATATCCATTTGCATACAAGAGTTGGCTTTTTCTAATAAACACAAATGCATTGCTGTACTGAAAACCCTTTCTTGAAGAAAAAAAAAGTATCTGGAATACATGAATAAATTAAGACCTTATATATTTAAATACTTAGTTCTTATAAATTCTTCATTATCAAGTATTCTTATAACAATGCAATAACATTGCTAAACGAGTGTTGTATGTCCAACCCCAGAGGTTTAAATACAAACATTGTCTGAGGCAGTTACTAGTAAAGTTCATATTCGAAGTACAGGGATAGACTTGACAAATCCTAGAAACTTCTATGATTGATTACCCCAGAAGTATATATTATTTTTGTTCTGACCTGTTTGTGTAAATGCAAAAAATCTTATTGCTAGAGAGTGTTTTAATTCAACAAACCAATTCATCATATGCTCACTAACGTCTTACATGCCAAGCACGAATACACAATCGGTCCTTTCCTTGTGGAATGTTCAGTCTAATTAGGCATACAGTAAAGTAAACAGAGAATTAAAATGATGACATGAGTGTCATGATTGCAGTAAAGGTTAAGTACCTAGATGAATGACACCCAACCCAGGTGTTAATGGTCTAAGAATTGCTTTCTGCCAGTAGCTTAACTAGAGTTAATAAAGTGAAGGGTGGGGTGAGAGGCATGGGATGAAAGAATATTCCAGCAGGGCATGTGTGTTGGCCCACACATGTAGACAAGAGAGTGTGTGATTTGGGGAAAAAAAAGTAAGTTTAGTATGACAAAGGGGATTGAGATTGAGGGAAGAAGTATAATGGGATGAGCCTGGGGAGATAAGCAGGGGCAAGGTCAAGAATGGCTTGAATTATCTTTTAATCCATATTATATATTTTGAACCTTATTCTAAGGTTAAGTATGAAGGCTTTAATGGGTTTTACTAAAATAAGTGTAGACTAGAGCTAGAGAAATTACATTTTATTCTTTCCTCAGCTTCTTCTAAGATACTAGGTTAGAGGGGGGTGGGCGGAAGCTGCTGAATAGCTTCTTCATAAACATTTTCATCTACTGGAAAATTATTATAAAGTGGGGAGGCCATATAATTTTCATTCTAAAATAGTTATAGTGGAACAACAAGTATAAACTGGGATGTTTGGTCACCTAAAATTTAAATCTCTTTACAAATTGTATAAATCCTTCTCCTCTAACTTTATGTCCAGCCCACCAGTTCTTTTAAATCATTTTTAAAATGCAGAAATCAAATCTAGACTTTTTAACAGTTAAGGAAAATGTGTTCATTTGTAAGGCTAAAGAATTTTCATTCTCTTCATAATTAATTTAATCCTTTTTGCTTTTCTGGATACAACCCCCTATTGCTTATTCATGTATAATTTGTATCTCATTACAATTCCCAAGTATTTTTATATTATACTTGGGCTCAGAAAGTCTTTTTACTTTTTAGTTGTTTTGTCTCAGAATTTTTCTACCATAATGTATCTTGGTTTCAATGGATCATACTTCTAATGTATAGAGATCACTTTCAATTATTACCATCTTTGAGCTGTTAGCCATAGAATTATCAGCCATTAGGTAATAAAAGACAGAAACTATGCCTCCCTAGATGGAATAAGGTACATATCTGAGTACTTTCTAGATGAAAGAACCAAATTACATGATTTTTATTGTTGTTTATTTCAATTATGTGACACATAAAGGTATGTTATCACCACATTAAGCAAGATGGAAATGAGGAATTGGATGTTGGTAGAAATTTTTATTCATTCCCAAATTGTTCTTGTTACTAGAGGCCTAGTGCATGAAATTTGTGCACTGGCTAAGGGTCCCTCAGCCCAGCCTGCCCCCCCACCCCTCACAGTCCAGGAGCTCTCAGGGGATGTCCTAAGCCACAGTTTGGCCTCCGTCTGCGGAGGCAACCGGGCTGATCAGGGGATTCTGCCCCCATCACCCCGCTGCTGCTGCCACTGCTGGCTGCCTCAGCCTCCAAGGTGTTTTCATTAACACGAATCCAGTCCCTTCACCACAAAAAAATGACAACTTTTGTTGTAATGTACCCCGCGAATCACAGCAGGATGCCTCAAGAAGTCGAATTAAAGAGTCACATTTATTGCAATCCGGGACTATGAGGGGCCATTCCCCAAATCTCATAGTAACAAGATGGTCGCAGCTCCAAGGTTATATAGGCAAAAAATCACAAAGGTATTGATTACATCCCAGGGTTTGGAATGAGGAACCTG